TTCCGCTTTAAGTTATTGTATACCTTTCGAAAGACATAAGCATTAAAACTACGGCATAACAAAATACCTGCATAGAATAAATGAAGAGTGAAAGCTTCAGAATGAGAAAACATGGCGCATTTACCCGGCATGTTTTGTAATTTCTTTAAACAAGCTGGGAAGGGCTTTCTGAAAATCGACTTTTTCAAAATTTTTAATTAGAAAATTCTAAAATTAAGTATTCCATTAAAAAGTTGATTTTAGAAACTCCGAGTAGGAAAGGATCGGAATACTTTTATGAGTTGATAAATAAAATTTTATAAGTAAGGTTCATGTGACTCAACGATTTTTGATAACTTTGTTGATTGCACCATTAAGTCTTTTTCGCACTATGTCAAAAAAAAAATTAAAAAAGTGCGTTTTAATTTCACTTTGTTTGTTCGTGTATCTATTTGCAAGACTTCTACAGCCTTTAAGTTAAAAAGCTGAAATTAGTTCGTATAGAAATAAATCTTAATCATAAACTTATTTCTTTAAAAGGAAATTTTTACCTACCTCTTCCCCCCTAAAAGTTAAAGTCTAGTTACAGTCAAGGTCCTAAAAATGGCATTTTTTTTACTAATTATTTTATCGAAACCACAAAACTTCTAAGTATAGTTAAACAAAAACACAAAAAGAATTAAAATTAGCCGATATTTTGTTAGAACAAAATTTTTTTCTTCTCTAAATTTGTAAAATTTAAATTGTTAAGATTTTCACTATGTTATGATTTTCAATTTTATCATCCTAAATATATGCAATAATTTGAGATATTTTGTATTCAATAAAGTAATTTCAAAAGCTAGAAGGTCGTTTTTTTTTTTAGAAAAAGTAGTTTTAGTTGTTCCATTAATTTGATCTCCATTACCACATAACGAGGAACTTATATTTTTTTTTATTTTAATATTTGATCTCTTGCGCCATTTCGGCTTCTCTTCCACTTTTATTTCAAACTGCAAGAGTTCCGACGGATAGAGATATTTTTGGAGCACATGTTTGACTACAACTGCTCTAAATATTTGAACAGTTTTAAATACACTTACGCTAAAACACAAAGTGATCTGGAAGGAAGTAAACAGACGTACATTATTTACATTCAGTATAATTTAGAAAGTAAAAGTTTTAAGCACATTACTTATAAATATTTCAAGTTCTATGCTGTGAAAATGAAAATGTAAAAAAAAAAAATAAATATTTAAAAAACATTCCAAAATAGAAAATAAAAAGAATTAGGGCTTTTAAAATTAAATGTGTATGATTAAATTTCAGATGTTCTTTTGGGATCTTCCTTAGTGGGCGAAAAATTTTGTATGTTTTTATTTTTATTTGAAATCTTTATGTTCCATTTGACCTCATGATTGGCAATTTTTATTTCATGTTTTATTTTGTTTGTTTTTAAATAATAAAATTGAAAAACTTTTCCTGTTTTACGTTTAAAAGAAAAGTGAAAATTTTTTTAAATAAAATTTTTTTTTCTAATTTTGTTGTTCTTTTTTATATTCATTTTTCACCCCCCATAAATTTGTCTTAATTCTAATAAAATCCTCAAAATTTTGGTTGAATTTTTCATTAATTTTTGTTTTCGTTTTTGATGGTGCGATGCGTGAATCAAATGATCTATTAAAAGACTTTCGCTTTCTATTTTTAATCAAAATCATTCCATTTACCTAGTTTATCATTTGAAAATTGTTAGAAATTTCCTCAATTTGATTAAATAAAATAAATGTAATTTTTTTATTGTTTTTTCTTTTCTTTTAAATTTAAAGAGTACAAGTAATTTTATTTTACAATATTCGATTAGAAATTAGCGTTACTTAGTTATTACATTGTGTCTATAATTTCATGCTTTGCTCTTTGCAAAGTAATTTTCGAAAAGAATCTATGTCATGATGTCAATGAACTCATATGTATATGTATTTTTGTGAATGATAATGTTCTAATAGCAGAATTTTAAAAAATTTTGTTTAGAGAACAAAATCGAAAATTATTTCCAATGTTTTGTTTTGCTTTTGCTTCTTGATAAATGAAAAGAGATTTTTTAATTGTGGAATATTGTTAGTTAAAAGAAACTGATATGGTTTAAGATATTTAATATCCTGCCATATTTTTTTAAGAGAATATAATACTATAAATATATACAACAAAAATGAGTAAAATTGAGGCTAATGCTTTGGCACAAATTTTCTTGTTGTAATTTAGGGAAAACGTCTGCCCATGTTCATATACAATTTTTCTTTCTTTTGTTTGTTCATATTTTTTGGACAAATTTTTTTATTTCTTGCACATTTGAATTCAATGTAGACAATGAGATTCCATTCATCGATTTTATGTATTTCAAAAATTAAATTATTGTCGTTTATTTAGTTTTGTTTTTAAGGAATGAATACCTGAATTTTGATTTAAAATATCATCATGCATATGATTTTAAAATGCACATAATTATAGTTATAATTTTTTTCTGTAGGTCAAAATTTCAATAACGCAAATATTTTTAAAAATTTGGCATCCATAATTTTCATCATTAGCACGAAATCTTTTTGTTTTTAATTTTTTTTTCTGTTCTGTAAGTGCTTTTGATCATTTTGGGCATATTAATTTTTTTAGGATTGTTATTTCTTATTAAAAATTTCATGTGTGCTGTGCATGAAAAAAAACCTTGGAATTTACTTTTATAATCACTTACGGTGATATAAAAATTACATTACATTTTCAAAATGAAAAAAATGTAAATTCATTTGTCAAATTTGAAATTTAATTATTTTTTAATGCATAGGAAAATATGTACGTACAATATTCTACATACATTCCATTTACACTTGCATAGTAAAAATCTTTTTGGACTAACCTCAAACCGGAATTGAATGAATAATTTTTCCAACAGCTGATGGCTTTATTATTTTGGCATGGAAATTAAAAAAAAAACTACTTATTTACAATAAAACACAGTGAGTAATAACACAGTACTTTAATGCTATAATGTCTTTATAATAAAAATAAAAGTAAAAACCTTGACATTTAAAGTTCAAATGTTAAAGAAAATTACTTTTGTAATTTTAGCAATAGAATTCATAAAATATTGTCGCGGTATTATTATACTATTTTCTTTTCGTAAAATGAACGCAGCTATAAAATATTAAATCCAAATTTTAAGCTTTCGAATGGAAAATGTTCAAGAAAATTTTAAGCTATTTATGGAGACCCAACATTAAAATTACATTTTAAATTTTACTTCAATTCAGAATTCAGAAAAACAAAAACAATCACCTTATGAAAATAAATAAATCTAACAGACAAAATAGCTGTAATAAATAATAAAATTGATTTGATTCAATACTAAAAAATCAATTTAATGCCAACCAAATGTCCATACTTAATTTTAATTATTCTACAAATTTTACCACACGGAGAACATTTAAATTATTTAATTAATCACACTAACGATAACTAAATTTATTACTAGCCCAATAAAAAATTAATTACAATTAGTCAAATTTTTGAGTCTTTAAAATATAATCTCAGAAATTAATAGAGAAATTTTGTAAAAAAAAAAATTTAATTAAAAGTCGCATATTAAAACAATTATTTTATCTCTTTTTGTACACTAATTTTGTACAATATAAATTTTAAAAATACGTACTTAGTTTATATAAAAGTAAAAAAAAAAACAGTTTTAAAAATAGATTTTATACAAAAGAGAAAAAGATCTTCAATAGGGCTAATATACTAAAATTATCTCATTTTTTTAAATTTTATTATTATTACGCTATTGTTCCTCTTTAATTTATTAATCTGAGCGAAATTCCCTAGTTCAATTGTTATATAGTTTAAAAGTACAAATGCTAGGTTATCGTAATTTACTGAATTTATATCCGACATGCGCAATTATCCTAAAGAATATAGACAATATAACTGAATAAATTGCAAGGTAAAAATTAAATTAAATTTTAAAATATCCATATAGAACAAATTGAATTAAAACGGATTTATAGAGGTACAAAATATTAAAAAATTAAAATTTCGAAAAATCATTTTCTCTAATTGTATTTTTAAATTTTCAAATAAATATAGTGATATAATAATTATACTATTATTTATTTAACAATATTTTAAAATTTTTAAAACTGCTGAAATCTAAAATTTTTTAGACAAATTATTCTATGATATTTCAATTTTGCTCTAGTGTTCTTCCCAAAATCATTTTTTCCTATGGCTCTTTCCTATCCCTCTCCTCTATATACAAAAATGATAAAAAAAGTCTTCTATTACCTTATTTTCTGCCTAAGCCCTTCATTAATTAATTTCAAAATAATTCAATATTTACTTCAAAATCAAAAATTTTTTTTGTCGCCTCCTAAATGTATGCAATAAGAAAAAGTAAATAAATCAAGAAAAAATTCTGTTTGTACTGTTTTTCCTACTTATATTGCTTAAAAGTGTTATATAAAAAATATTGATTTATTAAAATTAGTTTATATATTTACTTCATTTATGCAAACACTAGAGTTTTATTTTCTAAATAACGTAAAATTTACATTTATGTCTATTTGTACTTATACATATTAAATTTATATATAACAGTCTAAATTTTAAGAAAGTGTCGAAATTTTAAGAATTTTTGTGAAAGTGCTTAACACGAAAATTTGTTCGTCTTTCTACATAAATAACTAATTATGTTTGACTAAAATGTAACTAAATTTTTAGTTTGACTATTTCAAATTTTCTCTATATTATGTCGAATAAAATAATTTTCTAGCTAATAATTTTAGATATTTAGTATATAGCCAATTTTTAATAAATATAGCAATGTTCAAGATCATTTTCGAAAAAATAAGAAAAGAAATAAAATTTCAACCTAAAAATAACACACTTCGAATTTTTCATGCAGAGAAACCAATCACATTGTGATGGTTTCACTCACATATTCAAAAATAGATTAGTTTTTCACGATAATTCTAAGAGTTCAGAACAATTTATATATTAGTATTTTTCGTTTTCTTTTAACAATAAAAGATAAAGAAAGAAAAAGAAAAAAATTAAATAAATAAGAAAATTTTAAACCATTTAAAGTGTAAATCAGAAAATTGAGAACAAAACGAGAAAATAAAAATTGAATTTTAAATTTGCAATCGTTAATGCTCGTATGAGTCGTTGTCGTTTGAGACTTTTTCATTTCTCATTCCCTCTTATTATTAGCACTGTTCAATTATATATGGTTTTGGTCAAATATAATTGAAGTTCGATATGCGATAAGAGTACGACGCGCCTCTTTATTTCAAGATCAATCAACTCCTTAATGTTATATACAATTCAGTTGTAAAATTTATGTATTTTATAAGAAAACAAAAGAAAAATACAAAAAAAAAAAACAAAAGAAATTTTCATTTATAATTCAATAAATCGTATATAATATGAAAATGAATAAATAAAATAAAAAAAAACTTGTTTTCTCATACAAATTTCGTTTTATATTTTGTTATTAATAAAAATAGGCAAAAAAAAAATAAAACACAAATATTTTGAAAACTCGAAGAGATCAGACAAAGGATTTTTTCCTATTACGTTTTTTGTGAAATTTATTAAAACAGAAAATTTTATAAAGAAAATTAAAAGAAAAAAGAAGAAAATATAAAAAGCAAAATTTTTCAATATACTAAACACACTTACATATTATGTTTAAAAACGAATGAAAATTATTTAAAATGGGTAGTACACAATCAACTTCAGACGAAAACTACAATAGCAGTAACGCAACTGCAAATAATAATAATAATAATATTACAAATAATAACATAATAGTAGATCATTGGTGGCCAATTGAAAATAATGATAATTTTACATTGGAACAACCAAATTTAAATGAAATTATAAATGAATTAAGTGATTTTAATAATAGAAATATTATTACAAATAATAATAATAATAATAATTCAAATAACAGTAATTCAAATATTTTAATTGAAAAAGAAAAAGAAGATAATAGTGATCTATTAATTATTAATAATAAAAATATTAGTGATACAAATTTTTTAATTGAAAATAAAAATATTAAAAAGAATTCTATTTTAATACCATCTACATCATCATCATTATTAAATGATGTTATTGAAGATGATAATGATAATAAATTATTAAAGAACCATAACTATTCTTCACCAATAATTAATAATAAAATTAAACAAAAAGAACAAACATTAGAAGAATTTAAAGAAGAATTAAAAGCTAAAAGAATGGAAAGACAAACAGCAATTACAGATTTAAGAAATGAATTATCACGTTTACGTTGTCAATTAGCTGAAGAACGTGAAATAAATAGAAAATTAAAAAATGGTGAATTAAATATTACATCAACTACAACAACAACAACAACAACAAATAATGACAATAAGAAAATATTAATTGATGCATGTGTTTCAACAAATGATAATGATCATTTAAATATTGATAATAATAATGATGATATTATTACAAATGATAATCCTAATAATAGTAATAATGATCCAATTATAGCTGAAAATACACAATTTGAAATATCATTAAAAGAAATGGTTAAACAATTACAAAAAGATTTAGCTGAAACACATTATAATTTACAAATGACAAATTCAGAAAATTTAACATTAAATTCTGAAGTTGGAGTATTAAGAAAACAAGTCACATCCCTGAAAGATGTTATTACATGCAGTAAACAAATGATTGATGTTAGAGAGGAGCAAGTAACACAGGTAATTCTTCTTTTGAAAATTTACAAAAAAAAAAGAAAAATTTATTAAATTTATCTTTGTATGAAAAGGAAAATTTTTCGAAAATAAAATTCGAAATTGATTAAATATACAATAGAATTTCTATAATATAAACAAAAAATATCATAAATTTTATTAGAAATTTGAATGCATTTGAATTTTTTAAAATTTGAATGCATATTTTCTAGTACTTTCATATTGTATTTCTGTTTTTAAAAATTTATATAAACTTTTTTAAGATTTTTAAGATACATACGTACATTCATACAATCATACAGTGAATAATTTATTATTAGAACAAAGCTATAAGTATATACTGTATGTTTTATTTTATTTTAAAATACAGAAGTTTTATATTTAGAATTTAATTGTATTTGAATTTTGTATAGGTATAAAATAATAATTAACTTTATAAAAGAAAAAGCAGGAACTATGAACGAAAGTAAAGTAAAATTTTTCTATTTAAATTCATAGTTTAATAGACGTTCTATGTATATTGCATTTACAAATTTATTGTTGAACTTTAGGATACGAATTAAAACAATTGTAATTTTTAAGTACATAATTTATACATGCCATTGTATAAATTGTAACATGTTTAACACCTACATATATACTATAAATATATAGCATCTGAAACAGGATTTCATACATAAACATACAATTATACAAATATTTTGAAAATCGCTGTATTTTCGAATTTTATTTCATGTACAGAAATTCTGCAATAAGCAAATATAAAAAAATTAAATTTTTAGTATTAAATTCAAGATTATCCGATATAAAGGACATTTTTATGAAAAAAAAAATGGTTTATGTATGTATATTTGTATCTGTATTTTAGTTTCTAAATTTAATTTTAAGAAAATTGTAATAATTTTTTGCCTGTTTCTATAATTTTCAACGCAATTCTATTTTATCTGGTACATATGAATCTTGGTGTAGAACTTCTATTTTATTTATATTTGTAATGTCGCATAATTTAATTAAAATAATTCTCTACTTTATAAATATAATAGAAAGCTTTAATTAAGGCGTACTTAAGAATTTATTTTATTACCAAGAAACACAACTTCCTTTGGCTTTGTATAAGTGGAAATTTTCGCAAAATATGTTCTTTATATAATAATAAGGAATTCATTATACCAAAGTTTTATTTAATAAAAAAAATTTTAATTTAAAATAAAACTCTAATAGACTGTCAATTTCTAAAATAAAATTTTATAATAAAATTTTTGCAACATACATATTTAACTATACAAATATATTACAATGAAATTATATTGCTTTTAATGATTAAAAGAGCATTAAGATTTTCTAATTTTCTTGACACATATAAAATGCATACATATATACATATTATATAAAACCAAATTATATAAATCAAGAATATATTTCAACAAAACAAATATTTCTTAAATATTTTTATTTGATTTTCGATAAATACAAAAAGTAGTTGTAAAGGGTTTTTCAGAATGTTCATATTAAGAATGTTTTATTTAAAAATAAGTTTAATGTTTTATTTGAATGAAATTAATAAATAAGAATGTTTTATTTAAAAACAAATTAATTGAGTAAGAGTCCAATTTTATTTCAGTTTGAAGTTTGAAATCATCCCGGGGTTAATGTTAATTTTTAAGACCGGAAAATTTCTAAATTAAGCAAAATTAAATTTAGATAGCGTCATCTGTCAAATAACTGTCATACATTGTATATGTATATATGTTTTATTACCTACTGTTTTTTAATTACGTACTATTTGCATGGATAGATGCCTTTCGAAATGGAAGAGCAGATAAATTACGTAATTCTTTCGATTCTAGATATAAAAAATTTTCTTTTAACGCAAAAATTTGAGGCTGCGTACGGCAAGGGTGCGTTAAACGACTGATGCCCCTATGTTCAACATATTACACAATTATTTATAGAATGGAATATCATTCAGATTGCATTCTTAGTTGTACTTGCAACCTATCGATGAATACAACTTTCGGTTATTTTATGCAACGTTCAGAGTATTATATAACGTAATATATTAGTTTTTGAAGCGGCAATACTGTCTAACAACAAGCCCAAATGTAGTCCAATAATTTTAAATAACCTTAAGTGTTATTGAAGCGTTTATATTTTCATGGTATAAATTGTAGACCTCGCTGAATATAGCTGACAGTAATAATTCGATCTGCCACTTAATTATGGCCTCATCAATACTTTGAAATTAAGACACTTATATTGAATAACCTGTTATATTAAAATAAATAAATTCAAAGTGACTTTATTTTCGAAAAAAAAAATTTATTGGATTATTGATTTATTTTCATATTCATCAAGAAAAAGAAGATTTAAATAAAATGTAGAAAAATTTCAATAAACTTGAAAGATAAATTTTTTAGTTTTGATAAACGAAAATCAAAAACGTTTTTTCGTAAAGTAGAAAAATGTTGTCCTTGAAGTTTTAATGTAACAGCTACATGATTTTTATAATTGAACTTTTGAACTATGAAATAGCAAGCATAATTAGAGTTGTAAGACGTGCATAAATAGTTAATTCCCCAAATTTTTGATACTCTGAGGGAAATTAAAATAGAAATCACCTCTCTGGTGATCAGAACAGTTTTTCGTATTTTGTTACTTTTTTGATATTAATTTTCAAATAATTCCCGCATTTGCAGTCATGATAAAAAATTTACTTGTTTAATTGATGTAACAAAACGTTTTAGAAAAAATTGAGTCAAACAATTGATTCAACGTAATTTCGCATAATATATTATAAATTATTTACATATATTAATAATTATTTTAATTTTAATATTTTATGAATTTATTCCATAACAGTTAAAAGCTAAGCTCACTCAAATTGAAGAATCATTAGCTGACCGTGAAACAAAATTACTTTCAGAGGATTTACGACGTGAGTATGATAAACAAATGGAAAATATACGAAATCTACGTCAATTATATGAGGAAAGAGCTCGTGTTTGCGCAGCCGAACGTGAGAATCTTTTACGACAAATTCAAATTAAAAAAGATGAATTGGCAAGTGAAACTGAAAAGTGAGTATAATAAAAATATGTACATATATTTGTATATATATGTATATATATTTTCTATTTATTCTTATTTTCTTTTGTGCAATATTTAAATTAATTATTGTTTGTTTAAAAATTTTTAGAAACACAAAAATGACAAAATTTTACAAATGAAATTTTTAATAATTCTTATGAAAATTAAGTATACAACAAATTAATTTATATTTTAATTTTCTTTAATTAAAATAACAAAATGTTGATTTTTATTTTGTTTTAATCAAAATTATTTTCTTCTTATTTTACATAAACAATTGAATTCAATTAATTTGTTCTTATGGTCGCAAAATTAGACACTTATGAATCATTTATTTTCACTTAGTTTCTTTTATTTTCACTTATTTTCGATTTATTTATTTATTGGTTTGTTTTTAAATAAGATTTTAAAAATTTTTAATCAAAGTGATTAATTCTTCTTAGAATAGAAATTACGAAATATAATCTTTTGAAAAGCGAAATAAAAAACCCATATAAAATTTGCCAACTTTTACAGATATCTTAATATTTATATACAGTGTATATATATATAATTATGTATATAATATCCATATATGATTATTCTAACTATGTATACATATATTTTACGTTTGTATGTCAGTATAATATAGAAAGAAAACTTTTGTGAAGAAAATTTTCGAATACGTAATGTTCTACGGAAAAATTGATGAAAATCTTTCAATAAAAATAAATAAGAAAAAAAAAAGAAATTTTTTTAAAATTATTTATTTTTTCTTAAATTGATAAGAACCACGAAATATTGTGACCTTGAAATGTGATTTTCTTTCTAAAGTGAATATATGAAATTCATTATGTTTTTTAAATGATGTTAGACTGTATGGCTGCCTTTTTGTGTCAACGTAGTACAAAAGTAGGTGTAGAAAACAAGATTTTCATTAATTAATTAATAAAATTATAAATGCTATGGTATTCATATAGACTAAAATAAGTTCGGATTTTAAAATGAATTCAATGGAAGTCAAATTTTAATGTAATATTTCTTCAATATATTTTCAAATTACTTGAAGTTCTTCTGTACTCAGAAATTTAAAATTTATTTAATTTTTTAGTTTCATAATTTGAACACACTCATTTAGAAATCTTATTTTAGTTGAATTCGCACAGAATTCAAATGCATTAGTATGAATACTTTCATGAATTTCACGGTAAGCATTTAAAAATGTTGTTTCTTCGTCATAATTAAGGTGTCAAACATTATGTAAAGTTTAGAATAGGTACATTTTTCAAGAACTTACTGAAAATATCCGAGAAAAATTGGAGAAAATTTTTTTATATGACCTGAACTAATGACTAAAAATTCCGAAATTTGTCAATCGGACATAAAATAATATCCTGCTTTTGGAATGGTTACAACGAGTAGTATAAATTTTAATTTTAAATATCGTATCTTATTCTTAAATTTAAATATCGTATATATTCTCTTACATTTTCTTATTTGGTTTTAAATTTTTCATTTTAAGAGTAGATTTTCTATGAAGCTCCTTTGCAATTAATTTTTCGTTTTAAAAATCATAAATTACTTGAAGCTGTAGTGTAAGTTAGACTTCGAACAAAAAAATTTTTATATAAAAAATAGGATGTTTAAAATAAGTACTTTTTCGAAAAGTATATACATATTTTATACTATGCGCTACATGTGGGTGAAATTTGTCGTCTATTTATTTAATATACGAACGTAAGCTTTATGAAAGTAAAAAAATTGTTAGAAATTCTTTAGTTATTTTAAAACTTCACAAATTACCTTTATTTTAATTTCCTTTTTAATTAAAATGATTTTAAACAATTCCAAATACAATTTTTATTTTCCTATATAATAAAAATTTAAACGATTCAAGAATTTAAAATAAAACAGCATTTTTTAGACGCACGAGACATCAATTTTATTATAAGAATATTTTAAAAAACTCATACGTATAACCAAACGTATAATAAAAATTTATAATTTATTTGTATATATATGCATGTGGAGATACGTAAATTAGTTCTAATTTTAGAGAGAAAAGAAAAACAAAAATTCTAAAAGAAAACATTATTATAAAACAACAACAGAAATTTACATTAGAAAATTATTTAATAATAATAATAAAAACTAATTAGAAGAAACTCAGCTGAGTATAAGAGAAAAATGATTTTCGAAAAGAAATTCACCTCTAAATTAAATCATATAATATGTATGTACATTTGCATACATGAAAATATTATATACTTAATATACCTTATGTTACAAGTGTATAGGTTAATATAGTTCAATTATTTGATATGTAAACATATTTACAATTAGCATGATATTATGCTACGTCACTGAAAATATATGTGAGAGGTGAATATCATTTATGAAATTTAAAATTTAATGTGATGACAATAATTATTGTGTAAAATTTCAAATAGTTACATCTACATAAGTATTTGTTGCTGTAATGAATGCAATATTGAAATTTTTCTAATAGAAAACTGTGTCCTTCCTATATGTCGAATATTTTATTAGAATTACAATCCTTTATGATTTTATAGCGTTCTTTTGTTCAAAATTTAAATGAGGTTAAATGCTTCTAACCATTTTGATTTTGCGTTACAAATTTTAATTTGTTTAAATTTTTTTTTTCTTTATTCTTTAAACAGGAATTTCTAAATAAATTTTATGAATTTCTACATTTATACATACACATATACTTTGTATCTTGTACAAATTCTTTGTTTTAAAAAAAAATTTTGAACTTTTATTTTAAGAGTAATAATGTACGCAATTTCTTTTAGCCTTATTTAATGCGAAATTTCTACCATACATATACATAGTATAATTTAATACGATTTAATGAAATTTATGTGTCCATACATACATATATATTTAAACTTACCACTTGGGTCCAACAATTATAAACAAAATTTTATTGATTAATAAATTTTATGAAAATATTTTTGTTTCCTAAAAACGTATATTGGTTAAAAACGTTGTATTTAAAAAAAAATTTCTACGTTTAAAATTTAACCTAAATTAATGAATTCATAAATAGGACAATTCGCAAATAGGATTGTGCGTTTATTTTTTAATTTTTTTTTTTCATTAAATATTATTTAAATATAGGTATAGCTATATTTGTTAACAGTTTGTACGTCGTGATAACTATTCTTTTTTTTTTGATTTTTAAATGAAATTATGATATTTTGAAATGAGACTGCCATAGTATACTCCGATCGGAGTATTTGCAACACCGTGTTATTGTACTCCTTTCTCGTTTTATTTACTCCCTTTTCACATTTTGTAATGTTACACAATATATTTTTCCTCTGAACAGAAATTTTTGGGAATTTCGGTAAAAAAACATAAAATAAAATTTTGCTTAAATTTTGAAAACGTTTTTCCCAACACGAAAGCGAAAAATTAACTTCAAATGAAAATACTCGAAATACCAGTTTGGTAAATTCTTCAGGAATAAAACTTATTAAACAAGAAATGATCTTGTATTACTTTTAACACCATAACCTCCAACTTTCTAATCTAGTAAGTTTTTAAAACTAATTTATCTAAATATAGAACGAAAAATTTAGCTTCTTATAATATTCGTATTAAAACTGATCAATTTAATATTATAAATGATTTAATTTGGAAATTATTGGGTATAAATAGCAATTGATTCTTTCATTCATTTTACATGAGTCAAATCTAAAATACTAGTAAATACCACACCATACCGATCTATTAATATTAAAATTCTTAATATTCAGATAACATATTGTCATGAGTCATGATCAAAAAGGACTCTTAATCTAGTTATTTAAAATAATAGTTGTTGAGTTTCGAATTTACAAAATTTCAGAATATTAATATTATTTTGAAGTGGGTTTATATATGTATATTAAATTTGGTTAGTCATACTATGTCATATTTATATTTTTTAACAGAAAATATAAATTTAATTATTACGAAATTCAATTTTGCAAACATTCTACCACTTTAACCCAACAAAGCTTAGTCATATTTCTTTTATAAAACTATACGAGTATTTACAATGTATCCATTTCAAAACAAATAACCTGGGATAATTTAAAATATTATTTTTCTAAATAATAAAAATTTTCTTATTCCTTTTTATACTATGAGTCAACATTATATTTTAAATGTTTATCTTACTAATTTTTCTACAAAATATTTTACATTGGTTAAAAAAAAATATGATGTTAAATATTAATTTTAGTAAGAAACAAATCGTAGGTGTTCGAAAAACAAAAAAAAAAGTTTAATTTGTGTATACAGTAAAAATTTTGTAAGAAAATTAATAATACAAGGAGAAAAAAATTAGTCATTTAAGGAATTCCTCAAAAAAAAATATTAGAGAAAAAAAAATGAATGATAGAACGAGTAAAAAGATTTTTTTAAAAAATTTGTAAAACATTTCTTAAAAAAATTTTTAATATTTTTTAAAATAATTTTCTAAAAAATTTTTCAATTAATATTTTTGGTTAATATTGAAATTTTTGAATTTAAATTAGACTGTGAATTCTGTAAACAGAAATTTAAAATACCATTTTTAAAAATTTATTTGATTTTACTGTTTGATAATTCAAGCACACATTGGAAATTTCATTTGTCAGAAAATTACAACGATATTCAAATGGAGTTCACATACCGAATTCAATTGCATTGAATAATTCTTGAAAATTCTCGGTAAACACATCTAATATTTCATTGTCATAATTAAGGTAAAAAATGTTCTAATTAAATTTAAATTTAAAAAAAAAAAAAACATTGTCTTGCAATTTTTACAAAAATCTCTATCTCTATATTGCATAATTTATTTATGCAATAGAATTTTATCTATTAAGAATATTCAGAAAAATGATTTGTAGTTTATATGCAAATATGAACCCATTTTTTTTTTAATATAAAATTATTTTTAATATTCAGATTTTTTTCTCGTATACAACCTTGGAAGAATGCAAGAATGCTAGAAAAAACAATTCAAAGTTATAAATAACAGTCATTCTAATTAAATTATTTTATTTGTATATTTGTAGTTTTATCGATGTCCTTGAATATATTTTTTTGTATAACAATATATTAGTGAATAATGTACCCATATACAATATAAGAAAGTGCAATATAATCATAACATCCGGGTTATTTACATTTTATTTCGTTCACAGATTCTTTCTCTCTAATTGAATTTTGTCCAATTCCAATTCAATATTCTTATTTCTCGTAGATTGTTTTGTGGCAAAAAAAAAATGTTGAGGACAATGTACAAAATAAAAAATTTATACTTGAGTTTACAAGAGAAAATGGAAAATAATGTTTTTTTTTTGTGCTATAAACTGCATTCTTTTTTGTCTTTAGTTTTTCCAATTGTATAGGTGGTTTCTATTTAGATGCTTTATTTTTTTCACGCTAAAGTTAAAGATAAAAATTGACTTATTAAAAAAAAATTTACTTGTCTATTCAATATGTTGTATATTGTTTAAAATGTTGGCAAATTAACAGAACTTTGAACATACTCGTTAAAATACCGATATTTCTAACAATATTGCATTATTCAAATGTTAGATCCAAGCAGTCAGATAATTATTCAAACTTTTAATAATAAGTTCTATTTGATTTTGTGTTAATCAAAGTATTGAAAGAATATATTTGCTATTACTCCAGCTCTTTAATTAGTGATATCAAATGAAGATCCTATGCTTTGGCTAAATATTTTGAAGTGCAAATATATGCAATCCGCATATGATTGGGTTTTTCCATAGTTTAAGTATGCAAAATAGTGTTACAATATTTACTTTTTTAATAAAAAAATTATTCACTATATTACTAATAAAATTTTATTAATATTTAATAATAATGGCGAAAATAAGAAAATTAAAAAATAATTAATTATTGAATATGGAAAACGTAGGCATAAACAGCAAATTTTATTAAAACAAAATTTTTAATTTTAACATTTAAACCTGATGAACTGAAAAGAAAGCTTTTGAAAACTTATATTTTGACATTTTACCTTTCACTCACCTTAAAATTTACCTTAAAATTTCAAAATTGAGATTTTGCAGCTTTTTGATTTTAAACCGTTTCAATATTACAATTTGTACCTGTTAATGAAGAACAATATGTGCTTTCTTTAAAACAGTTTTTTTCAGGAGACTTTGTTTTTATTTTCGAAAAAATTTCGAAGTGAAAAAAAAAATTTTCTTGCACCAAAATATTCCATTTTTCTTTTTGTTTTTCCAATTTTCCATTTCTTTATGAAGGTGGTGGGGTGAAAGAATAATTTTTCTTTTATTTCTTGATTTTTTTTTTGAAATAATATTCCATTTCTTTTTCCATTATTAAACTTGTATATAGTTTTTTTGTTTATGTGTCTTTCAAAAAACAAAAGAAAACAAATTATATACAAACACATTTATATATATGGTAAGAGTAAAGAAGATGAGGAGGAAATAAGAAAATTTATTCTTGCGGTCTGATCGATCGGTCAATAACATCAGGAACTAAGATAAAATTGCACAAATTAATTATATGTGTTATACTATATATATTTCCAAATGTATTTGTTATCAATGTATGTGTTTTTCAACAATATTCTGTTTATACAATATCGTAAAATTATTTATGAAAAATTATGATTTACGAGTATAATATTGTCATGCACAATAATTTTTTCTCTCTCTCTCTTAATAATATCTATATGCAATTTGTTTAATATAATTCAATTGCAAATAAATAATATTGTTATACAAATTTAGATATTTAATTTGTATATGAAATAAGTGAATGAAAATAATTGTAATATTAAAAAAAATTTTTATACATATTTCCTGTGGTAAATAGAAATAATCTTGGTTAAGTCTGAAATTGATATTTCACAGGATTTTGATTTTAAGGTTTTTTTTTTTAAATATATTTTAGTATAATTTTAGTTTAAAGTTAATTTATCAGAATTCATGACATTTTCTAATAAAATGTGAAAAAGATTTTAAATTTATTAAATTCTATGGTTGTAAATTCAAATTTTAATCAATTATAAATAGTGAGACTTCATCAAATTTGAATATTCAAAGGCATTTAATACAGCATAATAAAGTCGAATTCAATGAAACACAGAGGATGCTCGGTTGCGCTTTGCACGGCATTAAAATATTTTATTGAGTACCGAATAATTTTTCGTTATCATAAGTTCAATTTTCAATAAATTTGGGAATAAAAATTGTATGTCTCGTAATATGAAATAAGATAAAATGCTTGACGATTTTGTGTTCTTTTAAGATTAGTTTTAGTTTTAAGTTTTTACTATGAGCTGCTGGATCATAAATACTTATTATCAATAAATGCAAATATCAATATTTTATTAAAATTAATTGTATAAAATTATGACTGAAATTCTACTATTAAATATACATACACATGCACGTATTTTTTTGGAAAAACAATTAAAAATGAAGTGCATAGTTTTCATAATTTCTAAATAAATTATGAATGGTATTATAGAAATTTAATGCAGTGGAAATATTACAAAATGTAGCAAAACATTATGCATGAATAATTTACATTATGAATATATATATATATTTATATAATATATTTATACTACAGCAATTAAGTATGCTTTTATAATTTAGATTTGGTCAAATTTAAATTATTAAAATAATATTGATTTACACTTGACGAAAATAATAAAAATGTAGTCTTTAAAATTTTCAACAAATTGAAGATTTTCAAATTAATTGTTAATTATATTGTATTAGAATTGAATATAGAAAACAGATAAAAAATTATTATAAATTATATCTGGAAGTGTATGGGATAGGATTTAAACAAAAAACAAATATCTATGAATTGTACAAAATATTTATAAAAACAGATGGTATTTTGAAAATATAAGTTATTTAAAATAATAAAGTTTTATTAAAATAATTCATGAATAAATTCATAAGAAGTTCACAGATGAGTGTATTTTTAAAATTATTGTTAGATGCAACAAATAAATGAAATACACTTGACAATTTCATCTGAACTATTCATCTATACTGTTAAAAGAAGTCAAAACGACTAATTTTTAAAAAATTGTTAAACTCCAATAAATTATTCTCCAAATTATTCGTTGTGGCATAATTATTATTTTTAAAATTTCTTCAAGTATAACAAATAAATTGGTTAATTTTAAATTCGATTTTAACACTTTTATAACTTCTTATTTATAAAATTTTTGAATATCCCACAAAAATTTATTTTGCCTCTCTTTTCAGAACTAAAAATCTCGAGGAACGTATTGATACATTGGAAAAGGATGTCCAAGATAAACAAAAGATAATTGAAGAGAAAAATTCTGAATATGGTTCTCTTAAATATGAAAATCGTGAATTAAAAGAAGAAATGAATGCTATAAATTTGGTAAATTTCCATTTTAATTTTGTTTTTCCACTTAAATCAATATTTTACTTTGAAAATATCATCATTGTTACATAAATAATGTAACCAGCTTATATGAACAATTTATTCAATTATATATTTGTCTTTTCTTTCTTTCTTTTACAGCTTTTCAGTCAAATGTTAATGGGTTTCAATGGAAACAATTGTTTAGATATAGATCGTTTAACAGTAATGCTAGAAGAGAATCGAACATTGTTAAATGAAATGGCAACAAAGGAGGCTAACTATGAAGGTGCAAGTCTACCAAAATTGCTATTTGATATTGTTAAACAAGTAAATGATAATGATGATACTGTTGATAATAGTTTAAATATAGTATCAACTGTGGAATGTCCTACAACATTATTAAATGATGTTCAAAATAAGAATAATTCTATTACTTGTAAAGACAATGAAAATACATTATTACAAGAAGTGGCCGGAACTGCATCTCTAGATGTAAAACAAGAAGAAAATTTGTCAAAATCAAAATTATTGTCAGAAGCAGTTAAATCAGAATCATTACAAATGGGATTGTTGAAAGGAACTACAACATCAGATATTAATTCATTAGATTCAAAAGAATCTTCTAATAGCATAAATGAAAGTAAAGAAAAAGATATAAACCCTAATTCATTGGAGGTTGAACAAGAAAATGCATGCCTTGAAGAGAAAAATAATGCAGATAGAGTTGTTTCTGCTCAGGAAATTATTGGTAATTTACCAAAAGTTTGGAGAGTCATTATGGAATTATTAAATCATCAGAAAATTGAAAAAGTTGATTTTGTTGAAAATGGTCAAAATGAAGAATGTTATAAATTAATTCAAACACCAAATGGTACAAAATCAGAATTAAGTGTTAGTAAAACTTACATTAAACTAAAGGTAAGGATTTCAATAAAATTTTATTTAATTTTTTAACTGTAAACTAATATTTATTTAATTTTAGAATTTGATTTTGGAGAAGAAATCATTGGTTAAAGAAACAAATCGTTTAAAAACATTAAATTCACATTTAGAATATCGATTAAATGAACAGGAGAAACGTCTCAGTGCTGTTAGTTTAGAATTACAAAAAACGTGGCACTTAGTTAGTAAAATGCAACGTCAACACAGACAATTACATACACATGAACAGATATTAAGATATCAATTACAACAAAAACGCCGGTTACTCAACGAACTAAAAGAGGAATTGGAATATTGTAGAAGAAAATGGGCTGCAGCACGCGCTAAAAATATGGAAAGTCAAATTCAATGTGATGATATGCGTAAAGAATTCGCTAAAAGACGTCTTGAGGATTCAAATAATTCAGCCGAAAGCGGTTATAGTGATGGTGCCGGCTCTGGAACCGATGAAGATGAAAAAGATTTCGAACAGAATAAGAATAATAAAATACCGCCACATAAATTTGTTCATGATTTTATTGAAAATTCTCGTATTCTTGAAAGACGTAATAGTTTATCTCCTATTCGAACCATCGCAGATACTAATTTAACAAGATGGCAAAGTTCTCCTGCTGTTGATACACCAGTTTCATTTTTGACTGAACAAATTACAAATAATGATGATTTCGATAATGCTATTGAATCACAGACTGCTACTGAAATAAATGTAGAATCAGTTTCAACTGGTGCAATACCAAAGCAAATTGCAAGTGGTAGCGGAACAACTCAATCAACTGCGAATGATTCATCTGAACCTGATCGTACTGAAAGAATACAACGTTTAGAAAATCAATGCAAATCCTTAATAGCAAGAGTATTAGAAACATCTGATTGCCGTGAAAAATTGGAATTACAAATTAAACGTTTTCAAGATGAAATGCCACCGGTTCAACATCCAGTTCCTCTAAATGAATTCATTCAAAATAATAAAAGAAAGAAATCTCCTTCTCCTGAAACAAGTACATCAACTCAAGAAGTAAATACTAATAAGGGAGTGTTAACAGAAAGAGAAGAAGAATATACACGTAGACGTACCGAACGCATACAACGTTTGGAAAGTGAAAGTAAACAATTAATATCTTCAATTAGAAAAGCTAATGACCGTGGTTCTACAATGATAATTAAATTAAGAGAATTACATGCAAGACGTACTGGAAGTCGTGAAGGAAGTACTGATAGGTCTACTGATGAAAGTGATAAAAATAGTACAGCCAGTGGAACAGCAACTGCAAGTGAAAAATTAAACGAATCAATTGATCAATTTAAAAGTAGAAGTGAATCAATGTTGGGTAGATGTGCTGAACGTTTAAGGAGATTAGAAGAAGAAGGTCAAATGTTATTATCTAAGTGGACTAAAAACTCAGAACGTGGAACTGAATTAGAAAATAAGTTAGATTCAATACATTCTCGTTATGCCAATAAAACAAATTCAAGTGATACAAAACGTAATGAAAATGATGAGAACGGCGGTGCTAGTGCTACAACGAGCAGCGCAAAATCCTCACGTCCAGAATCACCAAAAACAGTAGAAGAAAGGTTGAAAGAAGTTCAGGATAAAGCGAATTCCCGAAATGAACGTATCAAACAAATGGAAATTGAAAGCGCAGAACTTATCACAAAATTAACAAAAACTTCTAATAGAGGCTCCAGCATGATAAATCGTTTATCGGAGAACAGAGAAAGAAGAAATAGTCTTAAGAAAGAACAAGAAAAATTAAAAATGGATAGAAAAAGTGCTAGTATCGATGATGATAGTGATATTGTAGTTAAAGGAAATCAAACTGATTCTAAGCAAAGTACTGATACAAATAATGAAAAAGAAGAAGCTTCAGCGACAAATATTAGTAGTAGATCAACTGGTGCCAAACCAAAGGTTAAAACTTTACCAAAGACTGGTGTTGCAGCTGTAACTTTATCAGCTCATAGCAGATCCAAAGAACAAAAATCGGTAGAAAAACAAAATAAAAGTGGTGATACCGAAAGTCTTGAAGAAATGTTTATGCGTTTAAGTGGCCTATCAACACCTGGTAATTCAAGTAAAACTGAACAAGTAAATGAACAAAAGACTGACAAAAGTGATGATGATCAGTCACCCCCAGATGACAAAAAAGAATAAAAATTAAATTATTAAATGAAGAAATTTTAAATTTTTTAAGTCCTCATATTTTATAAATGCGTCTATATTATATTTAACTAAAAATATTTGAAAAGCTTAAATTTAATAATATTTGAAAAGAACTTGAGATTTATTTTGAATGTGGTTTAATTATATTTTTTCATATTAATATTTATATTTATATATATATAGATATTATATATATATTCAATTATTTTTATTAAGATTTATAAATAAAAGAAAATTTTTTTTATAAAACAATGGGAACAAACAATTTTTGTATTTATTTTGATTATCGGCTTAAAGATTTTAAAACTTGTTTTCGTTTCATTTCTGTGGTGTTGAGTTAAATTTTATTTTTTTGGTTTTTAATTCAAAATGATAAAAGAAATCCCAACTGTAATAGGATACAAAGAACTTTAGCGCAAACGTTTTTTTTGCTTAAAAACTAATTCTGAATCTGTAATTCTTAATGTATTGAACTCGTAAAACCAAGGATTGGCTAGAAACTCTAAGAGTTGGTTCTTAGAGTCAAATTGGTTCTATTACGTATAATATAAACAATTACGGGTCGACTATTATATAAAATTATTGGAGCTAAGTTTTATATGATTTTGTTTTTCGGCCTCTATATGAGTAAGTTGTGGATTAGAACATTATGAAATTTATATTACACACAGTATCTTGAAATTTCTTGAAAAAAAAACTGTTTTGAATGAGGGCTGATATCCTCTTGTTTATATTATTTTTTTGGCTCTCTTTAACACTGAAATGCTATTACAGCACTAAAGTACGCAAAAATGCGGACAAACAATTTCACAATCGCTCAATTATATTAAAAGTTTAATTTTTGAAATTTTATAATTTTACTTTTAAAAACGAGTTGTTGTTTAAAATATTTTAAGAGCCTCTAAAATGGTTTCTGTGATTTTCAAGAACTTTTGTTTTTTGGATTCTAATATACTGTAATTTAAAAATTGAAAGAGCCTTATATATTGCCATCCTTAGGCGAGAATTAAAAAAATGTAATGCAATTTTTATTCTTAAATTTAATACACAGAGTACACAAATTCTTTCTTCGCCTATATATATGCAACATTTTGAAATGAAGGAGGAAATGAAGTTTAAAGAAACTAAAATTGATTATATGAGAGATGCAAGCATTTAATAAATAAAAAGAAAATCTGCGTTTACAACAAAACTGGTGTTATTTATTTAATTTGAAGACTATTTATAAGTTATTAAATTTTGTTTAAGGTTCGATTATGAAAAAGAATATAAAATAGAATGAATGATGCCACTCAAATTATACTTCATATGCTTTAGGGTTTTTTGAATTTAGTACACGCAAGATCGAAAACTATTGTACAATAATTTGAAAATACAGAAGCCGAAATATTGAGAACTCTCTAAAATTTTAAAATGAAATTTTACAATTTCATTATTAAGAAATCTATATTTCTTAATAATGAAATTGTAAAAAGGATATTATAAGCTCAGCGGGAAAAATTTAAGGATTTCAAATATACAAAATTCGAAAAGGAAAACAAAAATTATAAAAATTCTGTGGTTCAGTTGTGATTCTCTTTTTTTTATACCCTGCACTTCGTGAATGGTATATTAACTTTGGTATGCAGTTTGTAAGTACTTGAAGGAGTCATCTAAGGTATGGACATATATATATATTCGTGCTCAGCACAAAATTCTGCGTTAATTTAGACATGTCCGTCCGTCCGATCGTCTCTAACTACCAAGGACGAACTCTATTGTAATTGGACTAATTCGGACAACGGGTTCAGGTAGCTGCCATACAACTCAAAGAGTTTATTTTAAATATTTCAAAAAGTAATAAAGGTATAAATATGAAATTTTGTATACATGTGTCCAATTATATCCTACATATGCTCTAAAAATTTGAATGGGATGGCGGCACCGGTTCGAATGGCTGCCATACAACCTCAAAAGCTAGTTTTAAATATTTGCAAAAATAATAAAGTAAAATTCATGAAACTTGGCAGGCGTATCTGCAATTATAGGTCAGACATATCCTTGAAGTAGAATGAATCCGTGAACTCACAGGTTTGAGTAATTCCTATACAACAATGAAAGGTGCAGGGTATAATTCAATCGGTTTATACCGACTGAAACGTTTTTACTTGTTGTTTTTTTAGTATAACCCATTTTACTATTTATACGGATTATGATAGTTGGTGTGAGAGATCACAGATGCATCTTGGAACATCTTATCTTTTTAAGTTGCAGTCGATTTTATTTTACAATAAACAGCATACAGAATAGAAAAAAAAAATATAAAAAATGAAAACTTAAAATTCATTTTTTTGAAAAACAATTTTAGATTTTAAAATAAAAAGGATAAGAAGACAAGTAGATTACTATCTGTTCAAAAAGATTACTAATATTGCAGAAATAAAAAAAAACAAGAAAAAAACCAATTCTAGATTCATTTTTTTAATACCTAAGCTGATTTCAACGTGACGTACACACACAGACACCTATATTACTATAAGAAAACTGTGAAGACGGAACTGATAAATATTTACTTTGTGTAATCTTTGGTTATGTAATCTTTTATCCTTTCATAAATATTTGATTGAAGCTATAAAATCTAGTGATAGTATAATTTGAATTATTAAGTTCTTTTCAGTTTCTTCATAGTACTTTTTGATTTTTAATTTATTTTCGTGGTTTTTTTTTAGTTTTTCTTATTGGAAAAACCAATTTTTTTTAAGGAAAAAGCAGATGTTCTTGTAATTTGAAAATAAAATAGTACTACATTTTGGTTTCCATTTCACATTAATTTTTGGAATTTAACAATGAAAAATTTAATTTTTAAAGTATTTTTTATTTATTTCAATTTTATTTATTTACAACAATGTGTACCGGATTAATCACAGCAATTTGTAATGAAGAATATTGTACGCAATTGGAAAAGAAGAAATGTGAACGAATAATGGTATGAGAAGCAACTAAAGTTTTATGTATGTGGAAAGAAACTCATTGACTGCATGAGTCTCTTTCCACATACTCATTGATTTTGAAATTTATTACTGATAACTTACTGATAACTCCAAAACCTATAGGGTATAGTAAAAGGATACAACATAAATATTTTGGAACAGTTTTCAAAACAAAAAATTCTACAATTATTCTTTTTAAAGTTCGAACCGTTTATACTTTGAATGCATCAATAAATCAAAAAATATTGAGACTATCCTAGGCTAAGCTTATTTTTTCTAATTAATTGATTGTAAAAATGTAAGAGCAGTCTCATAACTCTCATACAACTTCGAAAATAACTTTGTCACATCTTAGAAACTAAATTTTGCGTGATCGATTTTGGCAATAGGGTCAATATATTTTAACAAAAATTTGCCTGTAGTTATTAAAGTTCTTAAACCGGCTGCTATATATAGCTTCAAACTAATTTGATTATAATCAAATTTTGCATTATAATGAAATTTTGAATAAAGGTTATTATTGTAAAAGTTCAATTTACAATAGCAAGTGGAAAAGCCTATTTAGAATTAATATTATTGTATCGTATGAAAAATAGAAATTACAATACTTAAAATTCAGGACACAATTCAGTAACAGTGAAGTTACAAGTTTAGTAACAATGCCACCATTCTTTATTCATAATTATTTATGTATGTATACTTATAACTAAAAAACTGGAAGGCCAAATTATTTGCTTTCTTAATTATAATCCAATTGAGAAATACATGAAAATAAAAAATAAAAAAAAAATATTTAATTTTAAAGTTATCTCACAAATAATTTTACAGAGTGGCTCATTTTTTGCATCCAGATATCAGTTAAGGGTTAAGTAAATTAATTATTCAAAAAAAAAAAATATTTTAAAATTTTTCTAAACAAATTGTAGAAACCACATCAATCGACCATTTACTGTTCACTTACTCTAATATTTTACTAATTGACAAAAGAAAACAAAAAAATTGGCAATTAGTTAAAAGAAAATTGGAAGGGCTTATAAAACCACAAAAGTTAAAAATGCATTAAGCAAAACAAAACTACCAAAATATTCTTAATTTTCCATTTAATCTTATAAAAGAAAGAATGAAAAACTTTGTCTCTAAACATCATCGTCATCAGATCCATTATCACACCAATGGAAACGAAATGGATTGGAATGATTGTCGCCTTAATGGAAATTACAACTTTTCCTCAAACAAAAAAATTTATATACGCTCCTCCAAATTACCCACATAAATGCATGTACATGTAGAGTTACTTATGTATGTATATCGGAATATCCTTTTATTAAACAAATTATGTATGTATATTTATCAAAAACATTTTATATACCAAAAAGACAGAAAAACTTAGTTAAGACACACACTTAAACTTGATTTGTAAAAGAAAATCATTTACTTTTTCTTTTTGATACTTTTTTCAAAAGTGAAAATTATTGTCATAGATGGCATTGTAATACTCTGGTAATAACGTTAAAAGGTATAAATATTCTTAAGCCGAAGTTTAATGAATAAAAAAGAAAAATAAAAACGTAACAAAAAGAAAAGTTAAAAATTAAATGCAGAACAAGAGAAAAAAACACTCATTTTAAGGACGAAAGGAAGGAAACAAAAAATTAAAAAAACGCAAAGAAAAATGTCGAAATTAAAAAGAAAAGTTTGTAACTAACATTTTCTCAAGAATTCAGTTAGCAACAAAAAAAATTTTTTTCTGCTTTTATTTTTATGTTTTTTTTTTTGAAAGAAAAGTTTAGTGTTTTGGAATGAAATCTACAATCACATACAAAAATAAGTGTAAAATAATGAAACGGAGAAAGTGTGAGTGAGAGAGAAGTAGGGCATACGAGAATTAAAGTAAAGAGAGAGAAAAAACATTAAGAAATCCTTTTAAAACTAAGAGTTAAAGTTTTTTCAAAATTGCATAAGAGTTCAGAGGTAGTCGTTTAACTTTATTTCGCTTGATACATAAAGTAGCTAAAGTTATTTAACAGTCTAAAACAAAAAGAAAATTATAACGCAAATAAAATGGAAATTTAAAAAATAAAAACGAAAAAAAAACAGAAAAGAGTAGAAAAAATCAAAATGTAAAACAAAAAAATAAAAGCGAAATTAAAATTGAAAAGTTTCAGTTTTGTTTTATTAAACGGTTACAAAGAAAAACTGTAGGAAAATTTCTCAAGAAATAAATTTAGTTTGAAAAAAAGAAAAAAGATTTTCCATTTTTTTTTTTATTTTGTTTGCTCTTAA